AACTGCAGAAGATGAACCTGAAAAACCTGCATCACCGGTAAAAGAAAAGACACCAGAACTAGCTGTTGAAAGTGAGAAAGCAGAAACTACTGAAGAACCAGAAGATAAAACTGGAGAAGTGATGTTGCCAACTGAAGAAGCTACAGAAGAAAAGGCAGACACTGAAAAACTCAGTTCTCGATCAGGAAGTGCTAAAACAGAAGATACAGGAACACAAGATTAATTTTATTAATGTATTGACTTTTTACTGGAAATAAAAATTTATATTGAATGGGACTGTATTCATAAAGTATATTATATGGGTGTGTTCTAGTCCAGGACTCTCCCAAGATCATGACGTGTGTAAAGATCCCTGAATTGCCTAATATTTCTATATTTACACTTCTTCCAAACGTATGAAATGTTAGTCTTGTCATTAAAGCATTCATATATGTAATAATTTGTTGTTTAATAACATGTGTAATAATTGCTCTGACACAATGGAACATGAGCTTTAAAGGTCACATGAAGAAGAACTTGTAACATGTGCCTGATGCATCACACACCAATCTGAAAAACATGGCTTGAACTGTGATTTTGTAATCAACATTACCAATAAGAAAACTTGTGTGATTCAGTAAGTTGGTCAATCCTGAGAATTTCAACAAATCTATGGAAATATTGATCAATTGTCAGCTCTTTGCAATGTAATTTCAATTCAGATCAGATTTTGTAAATGATGTAATTGTTACGTTTATTTATACGATACAAATGTTTTAAGAACTTTGTGATAAGCATTGCCTCTTCTGCTGTTGTGAATGAAATCTGTTCACAATATGACAAGTGCACATGATGGTATTTTTTTTTACTTCTATATGCAATCTTCAATTAAGCATATATGTGAATATTTCTTGTTTCCTGGCCCATTTTGAAGTGTTCTAAATTTCTTGCATTGAGTTTAAATTGGTCCTTGTAAAAAACTTGATTAACGTACATAAATAATTATTTTTTATATGAACATTTAGATTTTAAAAATTTAATCATGAACTTTTGTATTCTCATGGTTGTAAATGATACATTCTCATGGTTGTTTTAAGTATGTAAATAAATCTAATTGTCAAAATCTTGGCTTCGTTTTTTTTTCTCATTTATCTGGTACACCATTAAGTGCGGTGTTTGTGATTGAGTACAGTGCTCAAAGTACATCAAGCGACCATATTATTGGTCGGATATACACAGGCTCAAAGTACTGTCAAATACTTTATTTTCGCTTGGAATTAATTTTTGCTGAAGGAATGATTTGGTAAAAATAAAATCCAGCGAATATACCGGTACCTTTTTCCTATATTTTACATTCAACTTGTCAAAATTCAGTAAAAATAAATTTCATACAAAACATCCAAAAATATTCAGCAAAAATTAAGTATTTTACAGTACCGGTAACTCCAGTGACCATATTATTAGTCTGATAGTTCATTGGTCAGATTAACATCATGTGACTGTATTTGAACAACAAAAATTCGCCAAATGGATTATGAAGAAAACATTTTTTATTAATTCTACATCATTACTACAAAAGAGAATAAAATACACCATCAAAGTTATTTTTAAAACCACAATTGAGCTAAAGTTGCATTTCAGATAGCCAGGGTACTTCAATCACACTCAATATAACCTGTCTATTTTATACATTTATTAAAAAAACTTTAAAATTGAAAACCCTGCGAACTAAAAAATGACAATGTAACATGAGGTCACCGTTATCAATCTGAGTTGGTGGGAATATTGATGTGGGTATTTATTAACTATGTTAAGATAATTCAAGAATCTTTACATGGAATGTAGTTGTATTAGGTAGCATCTTTGATTCAGACATTCTTTAAAAGTTACACAGCATGTTATTGTCACAAACTACATGTATATAACATTCAGATATAAATTGCCATGCTGCTCTTAATCCATCTTGTATTCTTTCAAGAACCATATTATATTATTACCTGGAATATTGTTCATACAATGTGGCTGTGTACTTTACATACTAATGCCACAATTATTATTATAATACAAGATGTATCTTTTCAGTTCAAATTCTAAAACATCCAACCTTATCACAATGACATAAAAACACATACACAGTTATGACAGTTTTATGTTAAAAAACAATAGTTATTGTATTTTCAGACAAAGGTTGTATTTTACAGAATGACTCCTTGTTTATGTCTTCTAAATAGTAGCACATGTGGTTCTGTTGCAAAAAAAACAAAACAAACAAAGAATTATTTCAGATTGGAATCGCTAGTATTCAATGCAAAATAAAGAATTATAATATTTTATATTCTTATTTCAATTGCAAGTGCATGTGAAATGTGTTGTCCATCATCTGTTGGCAATTCAAATTCAGTCTTGTTGTTTGTGGGTGATTGTAGCCATAACACCCCCCCCCCCCCCCAATAACTTATAACAGAGTCAGCCAATTGGGGAATACCCTACATGATTACGAGACGGGATAACCAATCAAATTTATGCAATTGAGTTTAGTATCATGATAGGGGTGCATTTTATTCCACTCACTAACAGCCAGAGAATGTATGGTTTCAGGGAAGATATTGTAAATGTTTATTGAGTACATCAACATTATCACTACAAAATGAAATTCTGAACGAGCAAATCCACTCAGAACAGATGGTAAAGTCGGTAAAGTTGGTATTGTATTCAGTGATGGTTTTAACAAAATTGTTATTCATCCTACAATGAACTTTTGATGAAGTTCCTTACCAGGACCATGTCTCAAGTAATGTTCCCATCCTGGGGACTGTTGAACTCCAAGATTCCTCCATTCCGTTTCTGTCATTAGGTGTGTCCTGGGAACTAACTTTGCCAAATCTGGTGGCAAGATGACATGCCTGAAACATAAAAACAATGTTTGAGAACACCATATTCAAATCATTATAAATTGAAGACCCTGTCTGATACTATAGTGTACTACAGTATAACACTTACCTGTATTCAAATCATTATAAATTGAAGACCATGTCTGATACTATAGTGTAATACAGTATAACACTTACCTGTATTCAAATCATTATAAATTGAAGACCCTGTCTGATACTATAACAGTATACAGTATAACACTTACCTGTATTCAAATCATTATAAATTGAAGACCATGTCTGATACTATAGTGTAATACAGTATAACACTTACCTGTATTCAAATCATTATAAATTGAAGACCATGTCTGATACTATAATGTAATACAGTATAACACTTACCTGTATTCAAATCATTATAAATTGAAGACCATGTCTGATACTATAATGTAATACAGTATAACACTTACCTGTATTCAAATCATTATAAATTGAAGACCATGTCTGATACTATAGTGTAATACAGTATAACACTTACCTGTATTCAAATCTGTCATCATAATATTTCTCTGAGTATGTTATCTGTTGTTGTGTTGTTTCTGATGGCATTATTGTGTTGTCATCCAGGATTGACTACTTCCAACTCTGAAACATGTCAAAACACATTTTATTCACGACCATTATCAGGAAAGGCACAAAGCAGATTGATATCTCACCATATCCTTAATTACCATATCCCTGAGGCTGATTATCGTTTTCCTAACTACATG